GCATATCCACTTACTCTAGTTAGCATCATCAAATCTGTATATAAACTTTGTACTGCTCATTGTATAATTATTAAGTGAATACAAAAACATCTTTCTCAATATCATTGTCTATACAAGGCTGCTGCAGAGGAAAGCATACAGAGGGTGATAAATTTGGGACCCCAATACTGAGGCAAGGAAGCTGATTGGGGATACGGGTTTGTTGGACCATTTGCTCGAACACATGGCGGACAAGGTGGCGCCAGGTGGAGCCCAGAGGTTTAGGCGGCGGCACAATGCTGATGGAGCCATGGAGTATTGGCTGGAGAGAGCTGATCTGTTTAAAATCAGAAAAGCTGGGAAGAGATAACCAAGATAAAAAGGTGATGTTAATGTTATTCATCTTTGATTGATGTCCTCTGTGTTTAATGCATAATGTGTATGTGAGTCCCTTAATCTAGCTCTCTGCTTTTCTTCTTAAATTAATCTAGCTCATGAATCTCTCTGGCAACGTCAAATTGACTGGGAACATGATGGTTCATGAATCCACCAAAAGGTGAACCAACAAATTTGGACATTTCATTTTAATTTGTTTATGTTGATTATCCCCTTGTATCTTTTTTTTTTTTGAAACGAAACGATTATATTGATTGGGTAAATGACTTAGTACAGAGAATCTTCCACCAAAGCATCAGTAATGATCACAGGAGGTTCCCATGACCACGTGGAAGCTGAGGTCAGTGTTAAAGATAGTTGTGCTAGTCTAAAGGCCACTTTGTTGGCCATTCTAGAGATATGCGTAAAGGAACTGTTAGGCAAAAGCGCAAGGATCGCTTTGCAGTCCTCCACCAAAGCACCAATTGAGGAAGTATCCGCCGTTGTGCGACTCAACGATTGGACAAACTCCAGAGCATCACACTCCATCTGCAAGTGATTAAAGTTCCTATCACTAGCAAATTGTAAAGCCTCCCTAAAGGCAAGGGCCTCAGCATGTGCCGGTGATGAAACCCAGGGGAAAAAACAAGCTTTTGCAGCAACAAAAACTCCATCCTCATTCCTCGCCACTAAGCCACCACCACCAGACCCATTATGGGCTCTAAAGGTACCTTTCACGTTGATCTTGATGACCCCAACAGGAGGTTTTTGCCACTTTGCATGAATCCCAAATGAAACTTTGGTAGGGGGTTGGTGCAGCCTCTGAAAGTCATCGAGTAGCCGCATAGTCCCTTCCACCAGCTCACCCTGGCTTCTCCGCTTACCCTGCCAAACCACGTTATTCCTTTCATTCCAGACAGCCCAAGCCAACATCAAGGCCATTGCCGTTACTTGTGGCTTCCAGCTCAGAAGGATATGCTCAACCCAACCCTTGAGATCGGTCATTGGGGTAAGCTGGAAGTCCAGCTGGAGAGGGCAGTTCTTCCACATCACTGAAGAATAAGAGCAGTTAAACAGGATGTGGCTTAAGGATTCCACCTGAGCCCCACACAAAGGGCAGCCACCGAGGTCCACCATGATTCCTTTCTGGTTCAACCGTTCCCGCGTTGGAAGGGCATTTAGGATAACACGCCATATGAAAACCCTCACTTTAGGAGGCACATTCACCCGCCACAGCTTGTTCCAAGCCCTGCTTGACACCCCATAAAAGGATCCACCACTTGAAGACCCTTCACCCCCATTACTGCATAACAATTGGCGGGCAACCTCATAGCCACTACGGACATTAAAAACCCCTTTCTTGTCGTAGTGCCAGATTAACCTGTCAGGAGGAGAACGGGAACTTAGGGGTATACGGGTTATACAGTCAACCTCAAGTTGCGAAAACCAACTACGAAGAGAGTCAATCTTCCACTGAGCAGATACCGGGTCAATAAGGTCCCTCACTCTGGTAAGTTCCCTCCCTTCCGCAATAGGGGAAAATACCTTAAAAGTCAGTGGGAGTGGAAGCCACCGGTCCCCCCACACCTTAACGGTTGCCCCATTACCAATCTGCCACCTGGAGCCCCGTTCAATGATGACACGGGCGTCACAAAGACTTTTCCAGACAAAGGAAGGAGAGTGCCCCACCTTAGCATCCATGAGGGAGGAATTCTTGTGATAGCGAGCTTTGAAAATCTTGGCCATAAGAGAGTCAGGGTGATGTAAGATTCTCCAGACTTGCTTGGCCAGGAGAGCTTGATTAAAAGCGTATAGGCTGCGGAACCCCATGCCTCCTTCACGCTTGGGCCTGCATAAGCGGTCCCAACTAGTCCAATGAATCTTTCTTTTATCTCCCTGAACGTTCCACCAATAACGGGCCATTATCTGTTGAATTTCAACGCAGAGAGTTTTGGGGATCTGGAAACAGCTCATTGTGTAGATGGGCACAGCTTGAGCGATCACCTTTAACAAAACTTCTCTGCCCGCGAAGCTGAGTGATTTATCCTTCCATCCCTGGATTTTTTTCCAAATCCGATCCTTAATAGTGCTGAAGCAAATAGTTCGAGATCTTCCTACAGAGGTAGGTAGACCCAAGTAATTGTGGTGCTTCTCAACCCACTGCACACCAAGGACACGAGCCAGCTCATGTTGGGTGCCCAAGTCAACATTGGCACTAAAAGAGACAGCACTTTTTTCCAGATTAATGATTTGTCCAGAGGCCTTCTCATAAGCCTGAAAGATGGCTCGAAGCTGCAGACACTCATGGTGGGTGGCCCTCGTAAATAAGAAACTGTCATCTGCAAAGAAAAGGTGGCTAACAGATGGGGCCCCCCTACATATGGCCACCCCATGAACCAGATTCATCTGCTCAGCTTTCAGCAGTAAACCTGAGAAAACCTCAGCACAAAGCAAAAATAAGTATGGGGATAGGGGGTCACCTTGGCGAAGGCCACGCTGAGGCACAACAAAACCCATGGGATTGCCATTAATCATGAAAGAATATGAAACAGTGGTCACACACTTCATAATCAGAAGAACCCACCGAGGGTCAAAGCCCATTCGAAGCATAACGTCCCGCAGGAAACCCCACTCCACCCTGTCATACGCTTTACTCATGTCCAGTTTCAAAGCTTGGGTCCCGAGCTTTCCCGTGTGCTTTCTTTTCATGAAGTGAAGGGTCTCAAAGGCCACAATTGAATTATCAGAAATTGTTCTGCCTGGGACAAAGGCACTCTGATTACTCCCAATTACCTCGTTCAGGATTGGCTTAAGGCGATTGGCCAACACTTTTGCACAGATCTTGTAAAGAACATTACATAAGCTAATTGGGCGAAGCTGTGTCATATTATTTGGCTCCTTAACCTTGGGAATTAGGGCCACATGAGTAAAATTAAAATTATCCACCAGCCTGCCAGATCTTAGAAACTCCAAAACCGAGCTCACGACATCAGCACCAACAACGTCCCAATACTTTTGATAGAAAAAGGCTGACATCCCATCGGGTCCGGGGGCTTTAGAGGGGTGCATCTGAAATACAGCAGATTTTATTTCCTCCGCTGTAAACTCCTTGAGGAGAGTCTGATTCATGTCAGAGGTTACGCGTTCTGCCACCACGTCAATAATCGCAACATAATCCTTGTTCCCAGAAGATGTGAACAGATTTTTGAAGTAATTAACCG